AACCAATTATCCAAATAATGTTTAGTCCTAGAAAGCTATTATTATCAGAACACGTGAGCATAACATAGCGGTTAGCAGATCAATGAATGAGAGGGCAGCGTTACCAGAGTTGCCATATACCACACCATGTTACAGCACAGTAGGGCTATTACAGACAGAAACAATCCTGTACTACATCCATGTTTCCTGTCGGCACAATTTTTGAGCGGACTTTCTGTTCCGATTCGCATGAACGGTATACGAGTGGAGCAACTGAGTGGAGCGCACACGCATAGAGCGGGATAATACGCAGAGCGTCACTCCACGTGAAAGTGAAACCTGAGCGGTGAACTCATTTTCGGCAGCCGGAATTTCGGTGCATCTCTAATTATTGGCGACATCAGAAATGGATATTATATAATAGATGCTCTTTTGAACATTTTGGCAATTTAAAAATATTAAAAAAAGATTTTTTACACTGCACCCCTGCTCTCGACAGATGGCACCCCAGAGTGCCGCGGCACCCCGGTTGGGAAACACTGCTCTAGATTATTAACTTTATAGGTATCGTCCTTGGTGTGAAGGTGCCTTTAGAGTGAACAGTGTTCCTAAACTCCAGAGGTGCAGAGTCAAACCTGCAGTTGTTAAACTGCTATCACTAACACAATGTGTACTTGTTTCTGTTCTCAGTGAAGCTGCTAAGAATGCCAAACTATTGCGGGAGTTTCAATTGATCCCCAGACTGCTGCTGACTCTGAGGGATCAATCTCTGTCTCAGCCCACCATCGCTGCAATCGGCAATGTCCTCAGTCTCCTGCTTCAAGGCTTCCCCAACTCATATGACCTACTCAGGTAAACGGAGAGTTGTATGCCCATTTTAAATGTAGGCTGTCAAAGACAACACATTTTTAGAAGATTAGAATCAGAAGTGACTGATTCTTTCAAATCTGTTTGATTTTGCTGCAGAACATACTTTATTTAGAAGCAGGGGTGACTAATTATTAAGGAACACTGTACAATTTACAATAAAAATTTCCGATCACAAAATAATAATTTATAATTCTGGACTTTCTTTTATTTATTTATGGCTATGATTGATTTTTTTTCCCAGGTTTGGGCAGTTTATCTCTTCAACATTGCCAACATTTGCAGTCTGTGAGAAGTTTGTCATTATGGAGAACACCAATGAGGAGAAGATCGACAGGGGTGAGTCGGCTTTTTTAAGCTTCCAAGTATGAAAGAAGCATTTTAGCAGCATATTGTTCCAACACAACAACACTTCAGATCACCCTGTTAAAGAATTAGACCCATGGGAATCAAAGCATTGCCAGCTTTAAACAGCACCAAAAGAAATCCACACCTGCAGAACCTTGTGGAAAGCTACACAGAATTCCTGCTGTAAGCACTTTCTGCAGATTCCCACTAAAATCAGCCCTGGAAAATCTGCAGATTTCATCTAGGCTTAATAATGAGATGTCTTAAGATACCAGGAGCTTATAAATGTCAAAAAGGTTAGCAGTATCATTTCTCCTTTCAGTGGTCTTACTTTTCTTCCTGGGTGTTTTCAGGAGCTGAGGATGAGTTTGGAGGCCTCCTGTCATCCAACTTGATTCTTCTGCGGAACAGACTGCTGGACATCCTCCTCAAACAACTCTTCACCTGCAAAGAGAAGAACATTGTTAATGTACAGTGAGTGATGCTCCATTTTAAATCAAGGGTGGATTATTGGACTTCAAAGAGCTGCGCTGCATTTTACAGCATCTGTAACATTGTTACCTAAGCTTGCTGGTTTAGGGCTGATATCTGGGATTGGATACAGATGGAACTAGACACTTTGGATATGTGTCCAAAATGATTTAGTGTAGCCAAAGTGCTTTTATCTCTTTATCAGTGCTCTCAGTATTTTTTTTTTGTGGGTGTGTATGAAAAATGACAAAGCGCACCATTTAATTGTCTGTAAATTAAGCCTCATAACTTAAAAGATTATAAACAAAATTTGTAAGATCTACCTTCATATTAATGATCATCCCCCCACTAAATTTTTCTTTCTGCTACCTCCCGCAGGGCTTGCGAAGAACTTGTGCGCACCTTGGGTTTTGATTGGTTGCTGATGTTTATGGAAGAACACATTCACTCCAGTACAGTGACGGCAGCTCTCTTAATCTTGGTGGTGTTGCTGAGTAACCAATCCATCCTGAGCCGGTTTAAAGAGGGTCTGTCTGGAGGAGGATGGCTGGACCACACTGACTCTGTGCTCACTAATAAGATTGGCACTGTTCTGGGTGAGCAAGAAACCTAATCATATTTGATTAGTTTCACATGCATTTTAGTTAAACAGTTTCTATAATTATACAGTATAAAAAATTATAACAATAATAACAATAACTTAGTATTTTGTACTGTAACTAAATTTGTGAGTTTTTGCTCATTTCCTTTCAGGTTTTAACGTTGGCCGCAGCGCAGGGGGCAGGTCGACATTGCGTGAAATCAACCGAGATGCCTGCCATTTCCCAGGATTCCCTGTGTTGCAAACTCTACTGCCCAAACACACCAATGTCCCAGAGATCTACTTCATGCTCATGGCCCTTTTCCTCCAGCAGCCAATCACAGAGCTGCCTGACAGCCTGCAGGTACATGTCAGTATGCAAACCTTTTTTCCCTACTAATCAAACTTGAATGTCTTTATATATATATATTTCTTTTTTATAATTTGTGTTATTTGTGCGGATGTGTAAAAATTTAATTGAAAAATTAAGTCATGTTCACATGCTCGGTGTCACCAATTTGCTTACATACAATTAGTGAATTAGCAGTAGTGCAGAATCTAAAATAATTTTACATAATATTCTTTCTTTCTTTTTCTCTTTCTTTCTCTTTCTTTTTTTCTTTTTGAATCCTAAAACTTTTACAAATTTAAATAGGATTTATATTTTATATAAATCCCAA